TCAATGTTTATTACATAAACCCCGATACGAATAGTAAAACTATTTTATTATACAAAAGAAGCAACAACCCACAAGCACAACACAAAATCGATTTGATTAAATTGACTGATGAAGTTAAATCGCATTACGCTTATATCAAAAATTATGATAAGTTAATGAGTAGTCAGACTAACAAGATGAAGGCGAAGAAGTATCACTGTAGAACCTGCTCACATGGTTTCAAGACCGAAGAACTTTTAAAGAAACACGAAGAACAGGGATGTCTAGCAGTTGAGGGTCAAAAAATAGAAATGCCAGAAGCAGGTGAAACAATAGCATTCAAAAACCATTTCAAGAAACTTAAAGCTCCATTCGTAATCTATGCCGACTTTGAATGTTTAACTGTGCCAATTGATGTTAAAAGCAAATCGGCAAAAGCTAAAACTACATCATATCAAAATCATCGTCCGTGTGGTTTTATGATTAATGTAGTCAATGCTATAACCGGAAGTAGTGAGCCTTACTTATACAGAGGTGAAGATTGTATGGATAAGTTTGTTGAAAAAATCAATGAAGTCAGAGAAGATATTATTAGTAGGATGAAGGAAGTAAAAGAGATAATCATGACTGAAAAGGACAAGGAAGATTTTGAAAATGCTACTACTTGCTTTATCTGTGGAAATGATTTTAAACCTGAGGACAAGAAGGTTCGAGACCATTGTCACTTTACTGGAGCTTACAGAGGATGCGCCCACGATGATTGTAATCTTGGTTTTAGTATGAGATATTATAAAATCCCTGTGTTTCTTCATAACCTTAAAAACTACGATGCCCACTTAATCATCAACAAGGCTCACGAACTGAACAAGAATTCTAAAATAGAATGTATCGCTCAGAACAGCGAAAAGTTTATAACCTTTGGTTTTAAAAATCTTTGTTTCAAGGACAGTTTCAGTTTCTTATCGTCTTCGTTGGATAAGTTGGTCAGGTTGAGTAAATATGAGGATGATAAAAAGCGTGAGAATTGGAAGAACAATTTCAGATACAGCGTTAGAAACCCGTATGTTAAAACCGATGAAGATTTGGATTTATTGACTGATAAGGGTATTTATCCCTATGACTACTTTGATGATTTTGAAAGATTTAAGGAAAGGGCTTTACCACCGAAAGAAGCGTTTTACAGTAAATTGAGTGAAGAACATGTAAGTGATAAAGATTATGAAAGGGCACTGAAAGTATGGAAGCACTTCGGGATTAGAACACTCGGGCAGTATCACGACTTGTATTTAAGAACTGATGTTTTACTACTGACCGATGTATTTGAAAACTTTAGAGACTTGTGTATGGAATACTACGGTTTAGACCCCGCTCATTATTACACATTGCCAAATTTCGCATGGGACGCGATGCTTCTAAAAACTGGTGTTGAAATAGAACAATTGCATGACCAAGAAATGTTTGAGATGGTTGAAAAGGGAATGAGAGGTGGTATGTGTCAGGTTAGTCATAAATTAGCGGTGGCAAATAATAAGTATATGGGGGAAGCATATGATGAGAACAAGCCATCAAATTATATTAGTTACTTGGATGCTAATAACTTGTATGGTTTGGCAATGTCCCAGAAGTTACCGCTAAAAAATATCAAGTGGGCAAAGAAAACTCCCATTGTTGAAAAATGGAATGAAAACGATGAGTTCGGTTATATTATGGAAGTTGATTTGGAATATCCCGAAACATTGCATGATTTCCACTCAGACTATCCACTAGCGCCTGAGATAAGGAATGTAAATGTGAATATGCTTTCCGATTATCAAAAGCAAGTCTTCAAAATATATTATGATGGTAAAAGTCCCAAGGACGAGAAAACAAGTAAGTTAATATTAAATCTAAAGGATAAAGAAAAATATGTGGTTCATATCAAGACTTTACAGTATTATTTGAAAATGGGAATGAAAATGGGTAAAGTCCATAGGATAATAAAATTTCAACAGAGGGCATGGTTGAAACCGTGGATTGACTTCAACACTGGTAAAAGGAAAGAAGCCAAAAGCGATTTTGAGAAAGATTTATTCAAATTAATGAATAATTCTGTGTATGGAAAAACTATGGAAGACAAACGAAATCATATGGACTTTGAATTAGTTGATAATGAAGTTAGATACGAAAAATGTGTTAATAATCCAACATTCAAAAATAGATTTATTATTAATGAAAACCTTGTAGGAGTTGAAAAAACTAAAGCGAAACTGAAACTGGACAAACCGATTTTCTTAGGAATGACAATCCTTGACATCAGTAAATTACATATGTATCAGTTCTACTATGATGTTCTTAAGAAGAAATACAATGAAAACATCAAACTGGTTTATACTGATACTGACAGTTATGTAATTCAAACATTCACTGAGGACATCTACAAGGACTTCAAAGAATTAAACCAATATATGGACTTTAGCGATTATCCACCTGAACACCCCTGCCATGACAAAACAAATAAGAAAAAACTCGGTTATTTCAAGGATGAGTGCAACGGTCAAACAATAACACAATTCATAGGGTTAAAGCCTAAATCGTATGCTTTTACAATACACGGTGAAGAAGAAGAACAAAAGAAATCAAAAGGTGTAGTGAAACACAAGGTGAAGAAAGAACTGACTTACCAAAACTACCACGAAGCATTATTTCAAAACAAAAAGCATGAAATAACATATAATTTTATTCGTAGTCGCAACCATCAATTATTTTCAATGTCTCAAGTCAAGCAATCACTCAGTAATTATGAAAATAAAAGGTTTTACATTGATGCTTTCAATTCACTGCCTTATGGACATTATAAACTGCGTTAAAGAAAAGATAACTAAGGTTATTAATGGATAGCAGTAAATATAAAAACGCAAAGATTTACAAAATAACAGATGTTGGTTATAATAAGTGCTACATCGGAAGCACCTGTGAAAGCTTGAGCCAAAGAATGGCAAGACATAGACAAAATTATAACAAGGCAGAACAATGGAATAATAAAACAAACTGTCGTTTGTTGTTTGATGAATATGGAATGGACAACTGTAAGATTGAATTATTAGAAGACTACCCATGTGAAAACAGAGAACAGTTAATGAAAAGAGAAGGTTATTACATTCAAAATAATGATTGTGTGAATAGATGTGTGGCAGGTAGAACAATTAATGAGTGGAAGGAAGACAATAAGGAACACTATCAAAATATGAGGAAGGAATACGCAGAAAACAACAAAGAACATATATGTAATAAAAGTAGGGAGCACTACCACCAAAACAAAGAAACAATATTGGAAAAACGAAAAGAACCTATTGAATGTGAATGTGGTGGTGTTTTCAGGAAATGTGATATAAGAAGACACGAGAGAACTGAAAAACATCAACGATATGTATGTGAAAATATTAATATCTAAATAGTTCTAATAATATATGCACTTATTAGAACTATTTAGTGGTACTTCTTCAGTTGGTAAAGTAGCAAAGTCGCTCGGTTATAATGTTATATCATTGGATTTGAAAAATGCTGATATTAATTGTGATATTCTTTAATGGGACGGGGGTTTTGCGACTGGCAGTCGGGGATTTTGCGACTGGCAGTCGGGGGTTTTGCGACTGGCAGTCGGGGATTTTGCGACTGGCAGTCGGGGGTTTTGCGACTGGCAGTCGGGGGTTTTGCGACTGGCAGTCGGGGGTTTTGCGACTGGCAGTCGGGGATTTTGCGACTGGCAGTCGGGGATTTTGCGACTGGCAGTCGGGGATTTTGCGACTGGCAGTCGGGGATTTTGCGACTGGCAGTCGGGGATTTTGCGACTGGCAGTCGGGGATTTTGCGACTGGCAGTCGGGGGTTTTGCGACTGGCAGTCGGGGATTTTGCGACTGGCAGTCGGGGATTTTGCGACTGGCAGTCGGGGATTTTGCGACTAACCGAGACGAAACCTAACAAGAGTGCCAGACGAGGAAGAACAAGACCAAACAGGGAACAGAAGCCTCGCCTGAAACTGATGATGAGGAAAATGAATCCGTCGCCAGTATTTTCTATTCACTTGCTTTAAACGACCACGAGGCGGGGCTTAACTCTCCCTACTACCAAACCACGCATTCTAATTTGATTGTGTTTATTCATATTATGTAATTATAATATGATTAAACATTGTAATTCTTTATAACCTTTCATTATACTGTAATTTTAACCTATAACAAAATTTCAATGGAAAAAAAAACGATGTCAAAACAAATACACCACCAACACCCCAGAACTTGATAACTACTAAAAGGGCCAACTCTTTCAAATGAAAAAAATGTCGGCCCCCAGCCCAACAATGAACAAGGCGAGAAATTACCCAAATGATTACCTTAACGAAAACGATAAATAAGCCCCCTAAAAACCCTCTTTTAAAAACGAATAAGGGGGAACACAGATTTGAGATGAACATAAAAACCAGAACAGGCAACCCTCAACAGACCACCCCCCAGGCCCCCTGTTTTCTCCATTTTTTTTGGGGGGGGCTTGAGCGTCAATTTGATGATACAAGGCCCACACCGTGCAAATGGGTGAACTCATGTGAAAAGCGGAAAAAGAAGGGGTTTTTAACTTTTTTAACCGCTATTGGTGGTCTAAACATGAATCTGAAGAAGCAACCATTGTTCAAACAACCTCCCTTGAAAAGCACCGGGGCTTGGTTGTTTCATCAACATGTGCGGCCAACCCTCGCTGCATTAATTCTCCCTCAAACTCACCTTAAACGTGTTTAAAAACAAACTCTTCTTGCAGTGTGGGTACACGTGCCCAATTATATTCCCTCCTGAAACATCAACCCAAAAAGAAGCTCACTCACTCAGAGCAAACGTGTAAACCAGGGCCTCGCAGGATACATTTGAGTGATTAGAGGGTCGGTGGTTTTCGGATTCTCCTGCTGAAAACAATCTCCTTTTGGCTTACCTGTTTTCCCTTTTGGCTGCGAAAGGAACCTGACCATTCTTGAATCGGGCTTGAATTGCCTGCAGGTCACCCTCACGGCGCTGCACGCCTTGTTCCGCTGGGTCAACCAGGAGTGCAGGGAGGGAGTCGAGGAAATGGCGGGTGTGCTTCTTTAGAGCCTTCTCACGCTTGTTTAAAGAGAAGCCAACAAAACCAACATGTTGTGGGTCCTCCCAGTTTTGACACACACACACACACCCTCAGGCACCTAAATGGGTGTTCACAATCTGTTACCCCTGCTAAAAGTGAAGATTTGGCCTTGATTGGGGAGCCGGTTTTCAGGTACAGAAGTGGGAAGGTTCTTAGCTTGATCCTCCAAACGTATTGCGAGGAGCGGGGCGGCCTTTGCGTGAACTCCTCCAACGGAACCTCTCGCCGGCGTGCGGAGCTGCTGGTCTTGGACACGCAGCAGAGGCCCGAGCTGTGCCTTGGCTCTTTGGTCCAAGTTTTGGCAGAGCAATCAAAACTCGGTCAAATTAAGACTGCCAGCCAGAAATAGCAGCGGATCTCGGTGTTGATTCTTTCGCATTTTTGGGTAGACTGCTTCAATTCCAGGCTTTTGTGACTCCTTGAGTCCAAGTTGAGCGTGACCTAAGAGACCTCTTTTGGAGCCTTGAACCTGCTCGTCGGCTGCCCATGATAACCTTAGCTACTCAAGGGCAAGCCATCCACCGCTTGGCTGATTTTAGCCTTCAACCTGTAGCTAGTTTGCTTTTTCACACAAACCACCCGTTGTTTGAATTTTGCCTTTCAACTTCAACGTTTTGGTTTGAGAGCCACTCAACAGTAAGCCCTCCACTTTGTGAAGGTTCACCCTGAGCTTTCAACTTTTTTTCCTTTTTTTTGGGGGGGTATTTTTCCCCTAACAGCTGAAAGCTTTATAGGCTCCGGGGTGGTCCGGGGCGGCCCCGAGGTAAGGTTCCACGAGGGTTTGAGCAGGGTGCCACCAGCGTTCCACGAGGGTTGCACGAGGTTCCGCGGGGTGGTGTGAGCACTAAAAAGAGCGCATGCTGTTGGGGATATCATTTTTTTTCTTTTTTCAATAAACACAATACAAAAACAAGACACTAAAACCTTTTTCAACTATCCAAGCCACTGACCAACCGGTCCTCCTCTCTCCCCCCTGTACCTCCCCCCCTTTGGCCTGTGACTCGGTGCGTAGCGGCTTGGGGTTGCGAGGTCCCGCGCTGCGGTGCAGCGCTTGGCGCTGGACCACGGGGTGGAGCTCTTCCTGGGCCTCGAGGACGTGGACGCCATGGCGGACATGGCGCAGCGCCTCCAGGCCGTGAGGGGTTTGGGGATCTTGGTGGGTGAATTCACCACCCATATTGGGATGTTCACTGGGGCTACGGGCTTTTGACCCATGGCCATGTAGGTTCGTCGGTGTTTTTGATGGGGAAAAGGGAGCCTGGTTTTTCCCGTAGGTTTTGACCGGGGTTGCCGTCAAGGCAAGCCAAGTGGCCGGGGGAATTGCGAACAGCTCCCAAGACCCATGTCCGAAGAGCAGTTTTAGTAGCTGGTAACCGATTCTTGGGGGTTGTAGTAGCCTGTAGTACAGCCGGATGGACAGCCGGATGGAACCAAAAGTCGCTCGGGTGGCCACTGCTCAAGAGGATACCTGCTTTTTGTAGATGTTGTTCCTAGACTGTCTTCGCGAAGGAAACTGTCGCAACACCAAAGTCACTTCGAGCATTTCAGCGGTGAGAGTGTGGGCTCCCGAAAGAAGGAAGGGGCTGTCGCGAACATGGCTGTAAGACATGTTCAGAGTGGTGTTGTGGTTTTTGCATTTTTACCCATGGGCGTGCCATTTGCGAGGGTACCGCGTGCCATTTGCGAGGGTACCCATTTTGTGGTTTTCAAGGAAAGCCACAAGGACCGCCAAATCATGGAACTTGAGAGTTCGCAAAGGCAACGGCTCGCCGATTGCGGCCAGTTCGACGGTTGGTCCATCGCAGGGGTCGAATCCTGGTGTTCACGATTGAAAGCTAGCAGCAGGCACAATAAGCACAGTGCACGGTGCACTCCCTGGTGATTCTTGGCCCCTGTGAGGGGCGATTGAATTGGGAGCCTTGAAACCGGCCCCGACCACTCGGATTTTGTTGCCGCACGTGCTATGAAGGGCGGCCTAAACACCTGTACGCCGTCGTGGCTTGAGGCGCAACTGCTTGCAGATGTAGTGGTCGCCACGCCACCTGCCACAAGTGTCAGGATAGCCTCCGGTCTGTCCGACAGCACGCTTTCAGCCCGACAGTTCGCCCGGCCAGAGCCTTAGAGCTGCGGCCTTGTGGATTCGTGCCCGCCGTTTCCGGCGCAGTGGTGCCAGCTGCAACGCCTGGAACAGCAAAAACTGCCGTTTTCACCTTTGCGCCGCAGCTGCAGCTGTCTTCTGCCAGTCTTCCTGAAGAGGCCCCTCAAGCCTCAAGCTGGCAAGCATAGCTTGAGATCTCCCGCACAGGCGAACCGGTGCCCGCACTCCAGCTGTCGGTTGCAGTATGGCTCCCTGCGGCGCCTCGCAATGCGCAGCGCGAGCAATCTGTCACAAGGGCTTGGGCCAGCCACAAAGCTTGAAACTTGCTGCGCAGCAGGTCCAGTGCCCGCTTCACTTTCGGTTCTGGCTTCCTTGCAAGGAGCTTCTTCAAATTCATTGAGGGCACTGATGCGTGACTGACGCCTGTCTACGAGCTGAGCCGACAGCGCGGCAGGGCGCGTGCCTGTATGGCAGCTGCGCATGAGCCCAGCGAGGTATTGCCCCCAGTGTGGCCGCAGTGTCCAATTGTGGCTGTGCCAGTCTTTCCGATGTGATCCATCAACGCAAGGGTTTCATGGAGCAGCTCGCATGATTCAGTGAGCTAGGCAGTGAGCAGACCTTTACCTCATTCTGTCCCCACTTTGCGACGCCCAATCAGTCTGCCAGGTGCGCGCAAACTGAGCCGGCAGCGCCCGGCAAGCTATCTTCCCAGATGCGTGAACCTTTACGCGCCTTTACGCGCTGCAGCCAAGTTGACCGCATTTGGATGTTGAACGGCCCTTCCACCATCATTGTGGCTTGATGAATCACTGGTCGGGGTCTGCCCAGTCCCAGGATGCTGACCAATGGCAGGTCTCTGTTCATTCGCGGGGCAGTGATGTCAAGGTCCCAGCTCGACCTGCAATGCGTGACCCGGTCCGAGAAGTAACAAAACCAAAGCAACCTTTCAGCTCGAAGGTGGACGTCTCAGGCAAAGCCACAAAGTCAAAACCGCTCGCTGCGGGGCAAGAATGGAAGGTGCAAACTTCACAAGCTCCCCTTGCCACGGCTGTGTATTGGAAAAGAGGTCAGCTCAAGAGGCGGAGAGTAACAAGGATGCTTATTCAACTTGCTCTCTTACGGATGTATTCACATGTGACCAGGGGTTTGTGGGGCACCCTTGGTAAGGGCACTCTTGTCGCTGATCGATGTCAGCATACCCTTAGTGGTTGCATAGGCCTGTTTCCCCTGGTAGTGTTTTGGAAACAGATTGCCGGTGATGTCCATGTTTCTTCAAGGGACTCAGGTCAATCCCGCATGGGTGTGCCGTGGTTTGTAGGGTATATGCCCCTTTCTGAGTGGCAATTAAAGAGAAGCAGCACCGGTTTTTCCGGCCACTTGTAGCTGTTGATCTTTGACTAGGCCCCCCAGTAGTGCCCTTTTACCGTTTCTTTTTTTGGGGGAGGGTTCCCCTACTAAAATAGACTACAGAAAAAAACGGGTGCCCTTATTCTAACCTCTCTACTAAAAACCCAGTTGAGAAAAGCTGCTGCGGAAGGCTTTGCTGCTGGCCCCGGTTGCGGCCAGCGACGCCTTGCGCTGCGACTTCTGCTTCGGCCTCGCCGGCGCCCCGCGGCGCTTCCTGGCACCGGCGCTGGCGCTCGTCGCTGCGAAAGCGCCAGGCGCGGAGCTTTGAGTTGGCGTCAGCTTGCTCGTTCTTGGCGCTGGGTGGCTCCCAGCCATCCCCTGAGCCTTTTATCTTTTTAGTGTTTAGTGGCGGTTTCCATTTAACCCTCTACTGCTGTTGGGTTGGATCTTTAGAGATTCCCCTCATATTTCCTTTTAACCAGCAAAAAGTCGAACTGTTTGCTGGGGGATCTACAGCACTCAAGATTCCTGGGCTGTGCCGTTCTCATTCACAATTCGGCCAAAATGGGAAAATGGGAAGATGTCTCTGAGGAGAAGGGGTGAGAACGGGCATGGAATGAATAAACGCCTTTCAAGGATGGTTGAACTAGTGTAGCTCGTGGTCTAAAGGATAGCGGAGGAAAGGATAGTGTTTCAACATGACATGAGCGGTTTACATAGAGGCTTCAGACAGGAGACTTGTTTACATCACGCCCTTGCTTTGACCCCCCCAAAAAGCAGAACTCGGCACCGGCCCCTTTTGGGCTGGTAAGAACAGTTTTATGATTAGACAGTGTTGAAACAGTGGTTTGAACATAAAGATAACTGTTTGATCTCGTGTTAAGACAAGTTTTTAACGGTAGTGCTTTGAATTCATAGTGGCCGCACCACAAGATGTGGTGTGTGTGTGTGTGTGTGTGTGCGCGTAAGAACGGAGCATATTTATTCAACCAGGGCTTGGCCCCGGGTTCGCGCCAGGCCGAAGGTCGGTGGGGTACCTTCAGGCGGAGGACGCCGTGTCACGGGAGACCTGTTCCGCTGTGCGGAATCTGACGGCCGCATATGGCATGGACCTCATTTGGGCAGGCGACGGGTTGGCGTTGGTTGCGTCATTTGTCAAGCAGCCAGTCCCAAAATGGGTGGTTTCTCCTTGGTTTGCCTTGAGAACGACACCAGAAGCGTATATTCAAAATGAAGCTGGCAAATGTTGCTTGCAGCGGATTTAGATGGCACCTGAAAGGTTGCGTTTTCTCTGCTCAACGCATTCTCCCAGGCGGCTTCAGATGTGGTTGAACCAAACCCCGGCCCTCGCCCAATTTGAGTGGAAGGATGTGGTTTCAACCAGCAGCTCTCGGGGGGGCGTTCGGGGGGGCGTCTGGGAAACCTCCGGCCTTGGATCAATTCGGACGCTTGGATCGCTTCCGCGTATTTGAAGTGTCTGAGTTGCCCTTTGTGCGTTTCCATGTTGGCCTTGCGCGCTTTAAAGGCTTTGAAGAGGTTGTTCAATCAAGGTCAACCAAGAGTGGTTGAAACCATGGTTTTAGCCACTGATTGATCTATCCCTGGCAGGTGAGTCCAGCAACTTGACAAGTTCGGGCCTCCAAGCGGATGTGCTGATCTTGTGCACGCAGCAGTTCACGCTCCTTGACTCTCGTTGTGCTGACATGATGAACAAAGCAAGGCATGCAAGGGAAGCAAACGGCACGAAAGCCACATTGCGGGAAGAAGGCGGGGGAGAAGGCAAGATGAGAGACTTTTGGAAAGTGAAGAGGTGTTGGGTACTCGGGGCTTTTGGAGCTTTTGTTTTTTTGGGGGGGGACGCCAGCGGGAAGGCTGCAGCTATTGGGGGTCGTCGCCTGACGAGTGAGGCAGTGCTTGGACTTCATCCAGGCGGCGAGCGAGACATCGGCAACGGCAATCGTGGTATCCGGGCCCTGCGTGCCTTGACGAGACCTCAGGTGACCTCCTGAGCCAAAACATCAGGTTCTTGTGGTGACGCCAGTCTTGCGCTTTTCCAGCAAAAGCGCAAACCAAGCCTCTCTCCATTCTTGGAATTTCGGGGTGTTCGCCTGCCCCCCTGTCTTTTTTGGGAGAAGCCCTCGGGGCTTTTCCTGGCCCCCCACGTTTCGACTCGCTTCGAGTCTCGAGGTGTCCAGCGGCCTCCTCCAGCTCCCGCACGGCGGCTTCGTGCTGGGGGTCGCGCCCCGCGACCTCTGGGCGCCTCGGAGCCTTCGCCGTTCGGAGCCGAAATCTCTGCCACAGGATCGGCGCCTTTCACTCGGGGATCGACTCCTTATGTAAGGTTTTTGGACAACCATCAGTACAAGGGTTCCCATCAAGGAAAGTCATTCTGTCCACACCTTGCACCAGTTTTGACCATGGCGCGTTGGTTTTTTTGCACTTCGGAATCGATTTGTGGACACCCATCTTGGCCAAACCCACTCGGATCAGTCTCCGTGTGTTTCCCTCATTGAGTGGCTTCAATTAGCATCATGTCGGCCAGGTGCGCTTGAGTTTTCTGTGCTGCCGGGGATGTTTAAAGGGGACATAGTATGGCCCCCGAAGTCCAATTGGTTTGAACGAGGTGTTCCAACCCACCAAATCTGAACCGAGTGCTTCAGGGAGCAAGGTTTGGCCATTTGAGAGTGCTCGGGTTCTGAGGCAAGCTACACTCCCAACACGGTGGATGCAGGGTATCAGCTCGATGGGCAGGCCAGTGCCTTCTGGTTCGTTTGGGAGCGACGCACGACGCACCGACACGTCATCTCCTTTTGGGGAACAAGTAATCTTGACCGTGGCTATGGGTACGGGGAAGCAACAAAAGGGTGGTTTTCCTTTTGGGTCCCCTTGGAACCAACCTAAGGGGCCCAACCTACGGTGATCATTCGGGGGTACGGACCATGGGCCAGAAGGTTCCCGGCATAGCATTTCGGAGGGCTTTGCTTTGTTTGGTTTCCCTTCTTCTCGGAAAAGGGAAAAAAGAAGCAGCCTCCAGACTTGCTTAACTGGGTTGCAAGTGACCACCATCATTTGATGCCTTTCTTGGGTTGGTTTTGGTTAGCAGAAGCCAAGTGAAGCCGCCCATTTCCCGTTTTGGTCCGGCACGCTCAACAGATTGGGACCCACTCCTTTTGGTTGGCCTTAAGCAAAAAACAACCCTTGAAGCAGGGGGATCCCTTTTACAACACGTTTCAATGGCATGTGGTTCCCGTATTTTAATTCTCCACTTGGCTTTGGGCAGGCCACTTTAAGTTGGACATTACCCAAGGGACCTCTTTGGACCCTTGAAACTTATGCACCTTGGTTTTCCGGTGACAAGGTTGGTTGCCAAGAGTCGAGCAAGCCATCCGCTGTGATTTGGAACATGGAGGTCTCCAGCTGGTTCGCTGGTCGCTGGTCGTTCGCGAGGACTTCTCAGGGCTTTTGAAGCAGATCCCCGGATTGGAGGATTCCGAAGACCTGCAGCTGCAGGCGCTCGATGGTGGAAAGTTGGGGTTTTGGGGTTGCCAGCTTTTGAGATACACTTCCGAAATCCCCTTCATTGACAGGGACAAAGTGGTTGGGGGAATCAACATTTGGTATCGCAGAAAGGGTTATTTTTTTCCACAGCCATGTATCATTTACACTCTTATATTCGTGTTGGTAGAGCGCAAAGTGGCTGCTTATTTGGCGATCTGATTTTTCTATTGTTGGAAAACTCTTGGACTCCTTCCAACCCCTGGGCACCCGCGGAAACTCCAGACCACTCCGGACGGCACACATGGCTGGCAGGGAGGTTTTTCCAAAAGATACGATTGCACATTTGTCTGCCCGAAGCTTGGGGGGGGGGGGGGGCCTTCTAAGAGTTTTTCAGCGAAATGTGGCACGGCTCGTGGAGTTCAACTTGCAAGCTGCGATTTGCTTTGGTTCCGGTTTTTTGTGTCCAACTTCGGCACAGCTCGCAATCCGAGGCTCAGCCAGACATGTCACGCGTTTCCCATGTCCGACCCGGTTCGGGGGGGGGGGGAAAAGCATCAATTTCGCAGGCAGAGATGGCCGCGCTGGCCAGCGGCAGGCTTGGATGCGATAGGATCCTCCACTGAAACTTGGATCCTCTTGCGATCAGTTGGTTTTGTTTTGCTCTCTTCTTTTTTTAAGAGGAAATTCGGCTTTAAGGGATCCCCAGCTTTTCCATCGCCTCATGTCGATTCGGGTCCGATCCCTGGCAGCCCTGGCAGGTTGCTACTTCTACCCGCCAGTTTTTCCAGCTTTGAAGTTTCCAACATCTCAGGGAAATGAGAACCTGCCAGCTCTAGGGAAAAACAAGGTAGCCGGCTGTCTTGCAGCCCTTGCTTGTATGCAATTGACTGGTGGAACATTCTCTGCGTTTTGCAGTGTTTTCTGATTTGTCTTATTTTGGGGCTTCTGGAAAAAGGTGCATGCCGGAACTAAAACCCCGCCAACGTAAATCAGTGAGCGTGTGAAAGAAAACCGCCGTTTCCAGGCCACGAGCATGCACCAGCGAGCAAGCGACAAGCGTAGCTGATATACAAGTATCCAGAGTAAGCCATTAATATAATATGCTCCAAGAAAATCTGTCTGGACTGAGACCCCGCCGGCGTGGGAAGTCCGCCGTGAGCTCATGTATGTACAACGTTAATATATGTGCCAGCATGTGCGCATGTAACCACGCAGCGCGTGGACGGTCATGTAATTATGCAAGTAACCATGCAGCGCGTGGACGGCGCGTTAACATATGTGCCAGCATGTACGACACAGGCAGCCACGCATCCTGTGGACGTCCATTGCGACGCATAAAAAAGTGTTTCATCTGCCACAAATAGCGGTACATTTGCAAATGCCTGCACGAATTACGCGGAAAAAAAACCGGACCGAAACCTGCGTTTCGGGCTCATGAATGGCCAACAGCAAAGCGCGAGTTTGCACGCAAAAGCATGGAATGAATGCCCGCGTGGAAGGAAAAAGCTTAAAGAAAAAGCAGGGTTTTTGAGAGTCCGTATCAAAAGAAGGGGAACAAGGACAACGAACAAGTAGCCAAAAGCAGGGTTTGGGCGGGTCAGCCGGCTGGCAACAACGGGTTTTGTGCCTAAAACCCTCAGATCCCTGAGAAAGCCCCGCCCAGCTGACGGGTCTCGGCACAGGCACCTGGCGGCCCTCCACTGGGCCGCTGCGGCGGTGCTGCTGACGGCCGCCCAAGGCGGCTCCGCCGAGGCGGTGGCGGTCGCCGCGGTGGCGGTCGCCGCGGTGGCCCGTTTTTGGGGGCGTGTGGTTGGCTTTTGGGGCTTCCTATGAGTTGCCTCTTCCAAAGGACTGGTTTCCTTGTGGTTTCTAGGTATTTTCTAGTTTCCAGCTAGAAGAGACGTCCACGATTTCAAGGAACTGCCCCATGTGTCCAGTTTAGTTGTGGGATCCCCTTCTGAATGATGCGCAAGGGAAACACAAGGAAGTCACCCATTGGCTCCATTTCGGACCACCTCTCAGCCCGTCCCATCCCCGGACCACAGTTCCTTTTTTTTTCCCCAGGTTTCGGGTAGACCACCCAGTGCCATGTAAAGAACAGGACGGATACACTCGGGTATAATGATGCCACGCTCATTTTGCAGGTGGAGTAAGTCCACCTGCTCAAATGGAATCCGTGTGTCTACGTTCGCATGGAGCGAGCGTTCCTTTTGGTTCCCCACATCTTGGAGGAGCACCAACACAGCACCCGTTTCGCGGCAGGTTTTTATGGTTGAAAAGAGGAAACTGAGACACCCCTTTGACCACCCCGTTGGCCCAGTTCAAGCACATTAGGACACGCCGGCCTCTAGGCATGTTGTCGCGTTTGGTATTGCCTGCGCAGGTGGATGGGTTTGCACAGTTCTTGGCTATCCCCGAAAACGGTTGCCTGGATCACCAGTTGCTTCTTTGCCCTCTTAAAGCGTCGTGGAAAAGGCAGGCTTTTTTTCGGCTGTTGGCTAATTCCCATGTGAAACAAGTTGTTTCCTCGCGCAGCTCTGCACCCTCTCCCCCCAAAAACGAGAAAACTTTACCATCCAAGAAGTTTTTTCTTTTCCTTTTTTCTCGAAGAAAACATCCAACCCAGCTGAGAAATTGTCAGGCAGCTGCTGAGTACTTGGCGTCGCTGCAGCCCGGGGACTTGCAAACGATTGTAGGCCCTGTGCATTTCGCGCCTCGGCATGCAACAGCCAAATGACGGTTTGGAGTTTCTCATGATGCGGATTCCCTAAACTGGTTGGTTTCCTTCAGAACCAACATCGTGGCTTGAGGGGCGTTAGGTGTCAGTAGGTGGCGCAAGCCTGTTATGGGTTCGAGCTCACCAATCCGGGGGTAAAGGTAGCGATTTCACCCCATGATGTAGGTCCTTTACTTGGGGAACTCGTAGTTCAGATTTCAGGCTTTGCAACTATCGCAGAGTTTGCCGACTGATGACCGGGCTTTACCTCCGAAAACAAAGGTTGTAACTCACCCAATCAAAAGGGCAAACACCGTTTCACCCAAACCTTCCAACGACCCGGTTAAATTAGGTTGGTGGTGGAAAGAGCCTGCTGTACCCTTGTAGGTGTCCGGCTACCCTTATATTCTTGGAACCAGAGAGTGCCGCTTCCTCGGAATCACGTGTTGCCCTCGGATTGATCGGGACCAGCCTCCCTCCAAAAGTACGTGTGTATATTTATGTATATATATATATACACATGTAAATGAAGACAGAGAAAGGTCGACATTGGGGGGGGGGAACCATATATGTCTATATATGCATCAAGGATTCCCTTAAATGGCGCACCTGTATGAATCAACATGATATCCATCCCGGGTTCCCGTGAGTTTCCAGAAGTAGGAAGCCTCCAAGCTTTGCACGTCGGTGAGAGCGCCCAAAACCAGTGTTGGCCGTTTTAGCCGAGTACCCAGCAGACGGGAAAAGAACCTTGGCAACCTTCGATCTGGTGCTTGGCGCGGATTTTGTCCATCCACAGCATAGCAAGCAAACCATCAAGTTGTGGATTCCCCCCCTTTCTGGGGAGTCCAACGTTGTAACTGCACCCATTGGTTGGGAATCCCTGTCATTCCATTTCCCTGTGCAGTAGGTACCACCCGTTCAACGCAAAAAGGGAAACAGATAGTTACTTGTTGTACTGGTAAATAAGATTTAGGATCCACTGGGTGTGCTAAATGCTCACAGTGCTGTCACGTTCAGGCTCCCTACTGGGAGCCAGCATGCCATCTGAGGGCGGGGATCGGCAGGGTGCGGCCGGCAGCTTGGCTCGCAGGGGGAAGTGAATTTTCAGAGGAACCGCAGTGGGTCCCCGAAAAGCATTCACACTCCACTGGGATGGGATGTGGAGTGGCAAGTCCTCAGCAATGGGCCCCACACAACTTCTCAGACCTGTTCAACAGGCCCGAATTTTCACGATGTGTGCTGCATCCGAAAGGCACCGAACCCATTAGCATCATCCAAGTGGTCCCCCGCAACTTCTTGGTCTCATGCCTTTGCTCACTGCTCATCTTCCTGTTCCCATCAGTCGCCGTTTTTCTTGGCGGCATTCCACTCCACTTAGAAGTTTTAAACTCTCTTCCCCAAAGTGATGGAGTGATTTCCTGCTTTTCACTGTAGAACTTCGGGCCAATCTTTGGTTCTTTCAGGGGGAGGCGATGTTTTTCACTTTTCACGGCAGCCAATTGGTTTGATTTTTGAAAACCGCAAGCCGCAAGTCCCTTGGTTTGGTGGTTGGGATGGGTGGTTTGGAGGTTCAGGGCAGCTTTCAGCTTTATCAGCTTGATCAGCTTTATCAGCAACCAAGGGTTCAATTCCCCAAGCCATAAATCCAAACCGCAAAAAGGTAAGACGAAAGACAGGGTGGTGGAAGCATCACTTTTCGTGCTGGATGCGCGGGGCTTTTCGGGGGTGATTCTGTTCGGAGGCATCTTGGGAACCCTGGGCTACGCTCAATTTAGGATGAGATGACAAAGTAGTTTCCCACTTTGAGGGTAGCCCATGTTTCTTATTGTTTTGGTGTTCAAATGGAAGCCCAAAGGGGATGGGTATATCAAGGAGTGCGTCTTGCTTTCTGGTTTGGAGTTGGAGGGTGTGGTTCTGAAAGCGGAGTGACCCTTCGGCCTTCGGCTTCCGAGCTGAGCGCGCAGGCGCCGTGGTGGTGCAGAGCCTCCTGGCCGAGGTTCAGCGCGTGGCGGTGAGCCAAGAGGCGGAGCGGTTCGGCGCTCCGGTTCGCGCGGTTCGGGAGCTGGTGGGTTCAGGGGTTGGTATGAGGGAAGTGTTAGGTATCCCCCTGTCCGCTCACATGGAGCCCACCAGTCAGGTTCGTGGACCGCGGGTAAGTTGGCTTTAGAGTATTAAGTTGATAATGACGCTGGTTGATGTAGGGGTGTATTCTCTTGGGATGACCGAAGTTGGTTTTGAAGAACAGCCCTGTGCTAATACTTGCATGGTCCTTGTAAGCGCGCCAGGTGTGGAGCCGCCCAGACATCGTCCAAATGTGTAGGCCCATTTCGGGCATGCCAACGGGTGGTGCCCTTCAAAAGAGACCTGGTGCCCTTCCACCGTTTTGGGCCGACCCCACAACTGCTCACACGCTGGGGGAAAATGGGGGGGAGGGGGGGGTTCTGCTGATAGAGAGAACCACGTCGAAGAAGCTGGTGTTGCCTCCAAGATAATAAAACCCTCGTGCCAAGGAATTGCCATCCTTGGCTTCGGGGTACCGCCAGGGCTTGGTGTGCACCTTCGAGGACTGCTTTGATGCCACAGGCCTGAGCTGGTTTTCGCCTTGGGATGCTGAGGCCCTGAGAAATACATTTGCGCCAGTCTACCCAAGGGAGCCAAGGGTCTGGTTCGGATACTAGAAGGATCCAAAAGGTAATTCCGTGGGGGCAACATACACCAAACCATGTTGGTAGGAGGGTGCCCCGGCTTTTGGTTGCTTTGAAGGGCTAGAACATCCCTTAAGTTCACGCTCGTTGGCTGGTGAATCATATTGTAGTGATCATAATCGCCGGTGTTGGCAAGCAGCACTTGACAACAATGCTTTTGTTTAGCTTGCTTCTGCACCTTTACCATGCACCCGGGCTTTGCCTATTCCTTATCTTCCAAGCACCTCTAGGGTTGATTACGTGTGCAATGCTTTAGGACCATGCTTCTTTGCAGAAAACACGATTGTCAGTGACTTCATTTAAACGAAGCGCGGACACCGACAGGAAACCACAGTTGTTTGGGGTATCCTTTTTTTTTTGGTTTCAAAAGGGGAGCCACTAGGAAGCCAAGGCAACGTTTCTTCTTTTCTTTAATGTATTCTTTTTTTGAACCAACAAGCATAGTTTGATTCAAGCAGGGAGCCAACCCTGAACGCCGATCTGTTTTGGAACCCATTTTTGAAAGGGAAGCCAAAAGGAAGCCGAAAAAAGCAGTTTTGGGTTCCACCCTCCCACCCCATTTTGAGACGAGGGGTCAGTGGCAAAGCTCCCAGGCGCTGCGCTGAATAGCAGTAGCTCGCTCGACCTGCAGCGTGCAGAAGCCTGGCAAGGATGGTGTGGCATCCATTTGAGCAAAGGGAAGACTTAAACCCAGGAGCTTTCTTGGATAAATCAGAAGCCCCTCGGTTTGCTTGAGCCCGGAGCTTTCCTTGTTTTCCGTCTTTTTTTGGGGGGGTCAATCTGTATGTGTATAGATATATGTAAGCGCAGCAGTTTCCCATTTTCCGGGAAATCAATCGCCCCTGGGTTAAGCCATGTGACTTCTACATATGCCGCGTCAGCCTTTGTGTGACCCCGGGCGCCTTCCTGTTCTGTTCTCATCTCGATGCCACTTGCACGGACCCAGGAGCCAAATTCTGCCTTCTTTGTGAATGCAAGCGGTAAAGCATGTCTCCGCCCCCAAATCTGCAAGCTATGTGTCAATGTGTCAAGGGATGACCCCGACTTTGCTTTCCCTCCAAAGCCCCAAGGGCCCCAAGGGTACCGCTGTCCCCGAGGTGCTCCCGCTGCCGCAGGCAGATCGCGAGTGCTTCCGCTTGGGCCCCACCGCCTTCGGCTTCTTGCCGCCCCCGATCGCTGTCTGCGGACCCTGCGGCTCCCAGGTGTCCGTCTACGCCGCTCGACTATGGGTGTGTGTGTGTGTATGTGCGCGTCTTTTTTGTTGAGTTGGTACCCTTTGTGGGTTGGTTTTTCAAGGGGAAAACAAAGGGAACACCGAAGCCATGTTTGGAGTCTGCCAATTTTGACACATGCCCAAACAGGTTGAAACAACCAGACCCTGCGCAGGCCCTGCGCTCCTTTAAAAGGATTCAGTCTTGTTTTCTTTTATTGGGTGCGGAAACCGTAGTTGCAACCGGGAGTTAGCCCTTTAAGCTGAAAGCAATTGTAATATTGTTCGAACAGAAGTGGTTAATCAACAGGTTAGCCCTTGAAAAAGAAAGAAACCAAAAAGGAGCCAGCTGCTCCCGAACCGTTTTCTCGAAGCGAGTTTCCGGCCTTTGCGTTTCAGAGGACCCAGAGCTGCAGCGCCGCTTCTGCCAGAGCTGCACTGAGGCAGAGTTTCTCCATACGTACCTCGGCTCCCAGCCATACCTCGGTGAATCGGGGTCCAAGAAAGGGGTCCGATACGCCGGTACACTGTGTGCAACACGGAATGATGGTTTGTCCATTGTTGGGTTTCATCAACCGGCTTGGTGCCTTAGACTTTTGAGTCTTAGAGTTTATAGGGATTTATGACTTTACGACACGTCCCACCACAAGTTCAGCTTTTGGCCAGGTATCAATTTAGAAAGATGTATGACCTTGTGACACATCCCACCAACCCTTGACCACTTTTCAGGTTTTCCCGAAGCCTTCTTTTCCGAGGTACGAGAACGGCACGGGGGCGTGCCTGCCCTGCGCCAGCAACGTCTCGTGCCCGGGCCAGCGGAGGCTGAACTGCGGCTGCGCCCCGTGCCCTCCAAACACCTTCGGCGCGGGCGACGGCCGATGCGAGGAGCTCTGCGCCAAGCGGACGCGGCCGAAGGGATGTCTTTCTGTTCCCAAGAAAAGGGTTTGGTGTTTTCCGGAAGGGGTGTTTGAGACGTTTGCTTCAAGGGGACTTGCCAGGTAAACTGGAGAACCAAAAAGGTTTGTTTGCGAGCACAAAAATGGTTCGAACGGCCAAAAGCTAAAAGGATTTCTTTGTGATTAAATCACATGTGCGGCGAGTTTTTTTTTTTGCGCCGGGGGGTCGCCAACCCTCCAGGACTGCCCTGTGGGCCAGTTCTCCGCTCCTGGGACATTGGCCTGCAGCTTGTGCCCCGCGGGCAAAAGCAGCGCTGGCGCCGGGGAGTGCGTCAACTGCCCCTGGGCCAGTTAGAAGGACCTTAGCCACGACCAAAACCTTAGGTGAAGTTAGGGATAGGCCCAAGAGTTCGGTGCGGATATCCACTTTTTGATTGGTTCCAATGCCAGTGGCTCGCTCCAGTAGCTGACGAACGGAGGGTTTGTCCAATTCCATATCTTACGCTGACCCGAGCGGACTGGCCAGAAGCAGTTTGGACTTGTTGATCTTGTATCTCGGCCCATCTCAAGGGATGCTAGTTGATGTCAGAACAGATGATAGATCATTATCAAAATTACTTGGTCAACATCATTGACACAATGTGAACATGGTAGACAAGGCACAAACAGCGCCTGACACTTCTGTTGGAGGAGGGGTAAATTAATAGGTTTTGGGATTTGTGGTTTCCAGTGGCTGAGTGGTTGTATGGTTGTATAATATGCCTTTTGGGCCGCTTCGATTTGATGGACTCCGTTGGTTGCGAATGTTGCATGCCCAACACCAGGCAACTCACCTCCTGGCAAAAGCCAGGCACGGCCGGCACCTTCAGCATCTCCGGGACTTGTAGCCCCTGCCCCAGCGGCACTGTCGCGGACCTGGACGGCGCCACGGAGTGTGCGGTCTGTGCGCCAGGCCGGGGTCACCTTGGACTGGCTGTTTTCTCGGGTCCCTTCAAGGACGCCTTGTCCCTTCTGCCCTTTCGAAGGTAAGCCAAAAAGAGTCTGTTTCAGGAGTGGTCTGCCAGGGTTTACACTCCTGCAAAATTCAACACGGAACCTGAAAGCCCATCAGTGGAGGAGTTTCCAGTTGGAATTTTACTTGGGCCACGCTTCAACGAACTGAAACCGCTCGCGCCACCTTCAAAACGGGAAGATCCAATGGGGTCTGGTTGGTTAAACCCGAGATGACCGAAGATTCGTCCTTGTAGCTTTCCTCGGCAACCACCAAGAAACACACGCAGTTCGAGTGAATGTAAATAAATCTATCTGCTTTCAATTAAATTTTAAGGGTTCAAGTCATGTGTCCACAAAAGGGGAGGCACCCCATTCTCTTGGGACGTGGTACTTCCCCTCCGCAACCGCCGGGATCTTCGCGACTCGGCGGCTCGACGAACGCGAGGGCACCGCAGCAGCTGGGACGCCGCCAGCTGCGAGCCCTGCCCTGAGGGGTCCTTCCAGCCGGAGCCCAACGCCTCCGAGTGCCTGGACGCGGTGGAAGGCTCCTCCGAGTTTGGGTCAGGTGGCAGCTGGCTGTGATTTCGGTGTGTGGGGGCAGCGGCACTGAGTTTTAGGGTGAGGTGTTTGGTGGCAGGAACATGTCTGGCACCTCCGCCAAACAGGCAGATGCTTGTTTTCAGATTGTCCTTTAGAGCTAAGGCATTTTATAAGGCAGGCGGGCAGCGGCACATGGGTTGGCTGTTAGATTGCGCTTTTGATGTGGGGAGTCCACTAAAGATCCTTAGGCTTCTCTATTTTGCTGGGCGGGGGTCCTCTTCTTCCGGGGTACTTGCTGGTTCTCGCTATGGAATCAACAGAAGTTTCGGACATGCTTAAAGGAAGCGACAAGGGGAGGATCATAGGGGTCATTCCCTCATTCCCTCTTGGGACTACCCTTACACCCTTGCAGATTATTATGGAACCCGGAGAAGTCTTGATCTTTCGAGCAATACCTTTTTTGGAAGGCAGCGTGTTAGGGCTCCCTATACTTCCGCTTTGGGACGGTTTAAGCTTTACCTTTTTGGGTGGGGTTCTCAATCTTGTTTTTTAGTTTTGAGTGCCGCTCTGACTCTCGGTTGATCTTGGCCTTTGCAGAAGCAATATGGTTAGATGTTTTGGCGTTGAGCCTTGTTAATTTGCCTTATCACTTGCTTTGAAGCGTGTCAAGTTCAAGACGTTTCAGTGTGGAAGTACAGACAAATCCACTTTGTACTGGGTATTATCCCTTTTGGGAGAGGATATGAACGTCAAGCCTCTTGGGATCATTTGGTCGAGGGCACTAAAACGATCAGCCTCTGGTCCGCGTTGAACGGAAAACCACACGAGGCTGTTTTTTGTCCGATGGCTCTTTCTACTGGGGGGCAAGCTAGCTACTGGACTTTCTACTGGAAGTCCCGCGGTTTTGGTCTGTATTTGGTCCAATTTCCTGCCATTCATTTCTGCCGGTTTCCATGAACATGTGTTTTACAACAAGTCCCGCCATTTCAAGCCAGTACATGTCATGCCATTTCCAAGCCGTTTCATGAAATCCATTTACAATCCATGTGTTCCCCCGCCACATTTCCCGCCACTTCAAGGGGAACCCATAGGGAGGTTCGTTTTTTTTTCTTTTTTTCCCCAGGCAAGGGTCTCAAGCGGCGCATGCCGAATGCAGGCGCGGACTTCCAAGGCGCGGGCCTGGTGACCGGGGTGAACCAGGAGGGCTTCTGGACTCGGAGGAATCGGCCGGGATGCCCGGGTGGCGGCTCCTTTGGGTTTCCTTTGGGTTTCTTTTGGGTTTCTTGGTCAAACCATCCACGGCTTGATCCCCATCCAAATCGAGTCGTCCAGATCCATGAAGGCGTCGGGGTTCTTCAATCTCAAAAGGACGCGAGGGGGTGGGTGTTGGGGGGTTGCGGGGCTGTAACCATACCTATCTTGGCTCTTTTGGGGTTGACATGCAAGAGCAACCTGGTCAGCAAATAGGCAGGGGGCAGGGGGTCGGGGGGGCGGGGGGGCAGGGTTGTCCTTGGATTCTTTGTGAGAATGGCAACATGTTCTTTATCAGGGTTGCAAAATCAAAACAATCTTTGTGGTCTCAACCAAGCTGATTCTTTATGGCCTCCACCTTCGGTTTTTGATCCTTTTTACCAAATCCACCCAACCCAACAAGGAAGGGGTGTAGCGTTAACCCTTTTTTGGTGGTTGTTTGCTTCTTTACGGGATACAACAACCAGAAACTCCCTACTGTGGATGGACGAAATCCTGCATCACGTTGAAACCATGGGAAACCACTGTTCGTTGGTATTTACGGGGGGAATCGTATCATTCCAGGGTTTCTGGGTTTCGTAAAGTGGTGCGACATGGATTTCGTTCATCCGTATGCTGAGACCACTTGAGGCCGCTGTCGGCGCCCTCGGTGAGTTGGGAGCCGTGTCGCGTGCCCGGCGCCTGCCTCCGCAACGAGCGCTGCGCCGTGGGCGCCTGCGGCGCCCAGTGCCAGAGCTGCCTCCCCGGCCACGTGCCCGCGCCGGACCGGGACCGGGAGGGGCGGAGCGCGGATGGAGGATGCCCCGTTGAGATGTTTCAAGGCGGAAACCAAGACACGGAAAACCGGGGGGGCGCTTCTTTTCTAGGCCATTGCATTCAAGCAGGTCATTTTCTTCGAAGAGGCCGCTTTCATGGACTCGGTACACGAAACAATCCCTCTTCCTTTCACCAGCAGGTCATTTTTGCGGAGGTCGTACTAAAATGGCTTTCAATTCTAAGGGGAACCTCCTCCCCCTCTGATTTCTGGTGTTTACCTGAGGGTCCAGGACCCGTAAAGGAGCTGATGTTTTCACACCTAAGTGGGTCTGTCAGTTTTTTTGGTGGCTTTGGAGGGTAACCAACAGGACAACCTCAAGTCCTTTTTTGTTTGGGGGGGGTTCCCCCAAAAACAAAGAACCCAAATGGACGAAACAGCCTGCCCTGCAGGCCTTTGCCTTCGGATCGACCTGCGTCGCGTGCCCAAGCGGACCGCAGACTCCGCTGGTGCTGGGACTCTTCGCGGTGCTGATATTGTGGCTGGCCATGTGGCTGGCGCGGCTGGGGCTCACGCGTCAGGAGGGGGACGAAAATGCCAACCCCGGTTTCAACATGTGGGTGGCGTCATTTTTTGGGTCCCTGGGGAAATGGCTGGTTTTTGAAAAGAACGATGGCTGAAAAGAATGGGGAATCAACCACTAGAACTCTCCGATTTTGCACCCGACTCATTTGGCTGTGGGTCAAAACCGTTTGGGATCCCATTTTGGTTGGTAGGTGAATTCACCACCCATTTTAGAACCTATTTGAGTGGAGATTGGGACGTTCACTGGGGGTACGGAATTTTGACCCATGGCCAATTTTTGGGCGACCCCCGCAAAATGGCGGGCTTTCCTTTTGGTTTCCAAACACCATCCAAAAAAGCTGCCCACAACGAACAGCCAATGTTTAGAACATCGTTTCAGCAACCTCCAAGGCTCCCTCGCACAGTTTGGGGCTTGTGGAATTCACCGCACAGTTTGGGGGCTTTGATCACCGTCAGTATGAAAACCTCCTTTCCCCCTGAGGGGCCCCGAGTCTGGCTCATTTTGCCAACCCCTGAGGACAATCCGAAAGACCTGCGCCTGGGATATGTGAAGCGCCTTGGCTGATGTCGACAACTGGATTTGGGTATGTCTTTTTTTTGAGGGAACCAGGGAGACAACCGAACAGAAAGACACCCATTTGAGATACTTTTGTTTTGCGTGTTTGGATTCTCCGTTTCTATGAACTGTTGGCTTCTATGTAAACCAACCAAATATGGGTTCGCACAGAAACAAGTTATCAAGAAACGTTCCCTGAGAAGTAGCCGTTTTGGCCGTTTTGTTCCTCCTTTTTTGCAAACCGGGTAGGTTTCCTTGGATTCCCCTTTACAACCGGGGTACCGCACCATGAATTCCAGAGTTGGACCCCCTGAAAAGTGGTCGGTGGAAATAACTCCCCGACTTTTGTCCACCGTTTTGGGTCCAACCACTTGGCGCAAACACACACACACACACACCCGCATGTTTTTGTCTGTGTTTTCTTTCTTTTTTTCGGGAAGCCGAAGCGCCAGTCAAGGATCCTCCTGCTCTACGGCATCTGCTGCGATGCCCTGGCCACCACAGCCATCGAGATGCTTTCCAGCCTCCAGACCAGCCTGGGTCTCGAGCTCACCTCGCTGCTGGCGCAGGCGACTTTTGCCGACGTTTGGGGGTTCTGACCGTTTTGATTGGAATTGAAGGGCTACCAGAAGGACAACCCTGTTTTATGATTATCATTGTTATTATTATTGTTATTATTGTAATTATTGTTATTGTTTGCGGGTGTGCCTGTGTGCAGCATTTT